GAGGAGGAGGAGAGGGAGGGAAGGAGGGATGGAGGGAAGAGAGGAAGGGAGGAAGGAAGGAGACAAACCCTTCTTTCTGACAAAGCAAGTATCTCATAAATTAAAACTGAGCTGCTTAGTTGCACATATTTCAATTTCAGCATCTATTTGCTACCATCTGCTAAATTAAAGTCTTTATTTAAAATACAGTACTTCCTCCACCCCACTGGCCCTCCATAACCTTGGCTTAATCTAAGGAGAGGAGGCTATTCCATTTTTAACTATTTTCAATTGCAAGACTGGTGAGTTAACTTCAATGAAAAGGCCTCACCTGAGAAAGCCCTTCAGTGTGGTTAAGGCAGGTGGGATGACATCAGGGGGCCCTAGTTCTGGAGTAGGATCTCGTAAGGCTAGATACCTAAGTTGATATTTGTAGGCTTCATCTCATACTGCGGCAATTTGGCAGAAGACTTCCTAGCACCTCCAGGAAATGTGGAGGTGTGTGGCCACATTGTAGATAAGTGGTTTTAAGTACAGGGGGAAATGTAGACGTTACTGTGGTTTGTACAGGCACTCATTTTTCCAACAACCAGGTTTTTTCAAGTAGTTTTTAAAAATTTCCCCATTGGGATCCGACGGAGGGACCAGGGACATGTACCTCCTCCACAGTAAGAAGGTTTGTGCTTTTCCTCTTGGAGGTACCTCAGACGACTCCTGCAGGTACCTCAGACGACTCCTGCTCAGTTTTTCCTCCAAGGTACTTAATGGGGTTTTACAGCCTCTGCTGGGCTTTCAGCCTCTCACTGAGGGAGGAAGGAAGGCCTGTCCTTTTGTGAGACTCCTGCTCCCACTTGTGCGTGTGGAGCACCTCTGGCAAGGGTGGGATTTTCCAGGTTTTGTTGTTAGGTGCTTGAGGGCCTGAGGGTCCCAGGAGCAAGCAAGAGAAAACTGTAATTTGGGGATCACTCTTGTATGCCAGTTCCAAATTTCACAGACTGGGTGCCACAGTGGTTTAACGTGAATCCCCATCCTGATCCAAGGCCTGAGGAACACCCCCAGAAAGTCAGTCTAGCCCAGGGATAGGCTAGATACAGGATACACAGGAGTCAAAAAAAGATTTTTTTTTAAGAGGTAGGGAAGGGCAGCAGGAGGGTGAGGCAGAGGTCAAGTGCCCTACAGGGAGGAAGAACCTTGTGTGCAGAGTGAAGCCCCCAAGCTATGTACTGGGGACAGATAGAGCACGAGCGAGGAGATAGTGGTCACTAAACTCCAAAGCCACTAATGACAATGAAAGTTTGTGAGGGGGCAATTCTGTGGAAGTTTTGTAATTGAGTTCTTATTCTAGGAAACTTGTCTGAGCTTTCCTTTCTTTTATCCAGGAAGCCCTGGGGAGTTCTCTGAGCGTGGAAACAGAAGGAGTTTTCCAGTACTTAACACAAGGTGGCGCCAGACACCCGTGGACGTAACGAGAACCTCCGCTCCAGGTGGGCTCCAGAAGCCGGCGAAAGCTCCTTGAGAGGAGTGAGTCAGGCCAGATTCAATGGAAACTGAGAGATCTGCACCCACAGCAAGTTAGCCTAAGGAAAAATAGGGCACACGGAAAAGAAGGGGAAAACATTTTTAAGAAATGGGAGAAGCAAAGAGGCTAAACAGGCAGCGTCTACAATCTCTCTGTAGAAGGATCTTCAAAGAACTTTGCTGCAAAATCCTTGGCAGGCCAGGAGATAAGCAACTGCGGAAAGATTACGAGTAGAGAAGCCCATGAGGAGGCTGCTGCAGGCCTCCAGAGGGGACAGGGTCGTGGCTTAGGCCAAGGAATGGTGGTGGTGGAGAAAAATGCCTCTGACTGGTGTATTTACAATAACTAACTTACACTTACTAGTATTCTTCACTGATATAGTGAGTCAATAAGCCCAACACTATCGCATGACAAGACTTAGTAGAAATGAATTCTATTTATCTTTGAGAATTCACTGTACTAGCATTTGATCTTTTTATGTATCATTATGGGCTCATGACTTCAAATTTATTGTGTCAATTGATGTCAGCCAAGATTCTCCTTTTGGATGCTCACGTTGTCCCTACTTTGGCCAGTGGGAGCCCTTTTAGATTGATCGTTGTGCAATTTTGAATAACCCAATTATTTAAAGCTTTGCTTCTGGCCCAACAGATGTGGCTGTTCTGAGATTGCCTTGTACCCTTAAGCCCCAGAGCAGACATGGAATCAGGTATCACTCCAAGAAACTCTAACTCCTTTTGAGAGAAAAATAGTATTAGAAACCAAAACCTGGGCTTTAGGGTACAGTATGAGGTAACATCGCTACTGGGCCATTTTGTTGGGAAAGGGCCAAAAATAAAATATGTATTTAATTTAATGTTTTATAAAGGCACAACTTCATACTGGTATGTTTAAGTTCATTCTAACAGTCCTCTGCTCCTACCCAAATTTTTGAGTCTACCCTTTCACTATTTTGGCCTTCCTTCATTGGGACTATGAGAAATTCAGAGTGAAGGCACTGGTCATTTCTGGGTACTGGACTTGGACAGGTGACAGAAGGACAGTGCCCCCAGGGGGGAGGGGCCAGGAAGAGTGATGATCAGTGTAGTAGTCTTTTGGTTTTTTTGCATATTGAAAATACGTTTCTAGTTTAGGCCAAATATAAAATTAATAAATACTCTTCATGAAAGAGTCAAACACAGAAGTATGTACAAAATGATACAAAGGAAAAGATCCTCAGCAATCTCATCTTCCTAGACAGAGCCCATCTTTTGACTACTTGAAACCCCACCAGGTGGAGAGAGGGTTGTAAACCTCTATCTTATAGGGGAAAACACCTGGCTAAGGCAGTTAGACTGTCCCCACCACTGGGCTGACTGGAAGAGGCCCAGGAAGTGGGTGTGGAGAAAAACCAGTTCAGAGTCCAGAGCTGGGAAGGGTGGGAGCTCAGAAGCAGGACAAAGGCCTTGCCCATCATTCTCTTTACCCCTCAAGAAACTTACCCCTCCGTTCTTCTCTGACCCTTTTTTCCTCTCCTGGTGGAGGAGAGGGGCCTGAAGAAGCTTCCAGAGCTCGGCCCTGAGGATGCCCTGAATGAGCTGTCTTAAAGAAGTCCCCAAAAGGATTTCCTGTGGAGTGAGGCCTCCAGGAAGACCAGGTGAGGCTTTGGCTAGCTGCTTCTGTTGGGATTCTCATGTGGCCAGAGGCTGTCCCCCACTCTTCCCCTGCCCCATCCCACACCTCCTGACCAAAGGTTGTCTTCAGGGGCCCCTCTGGACTCAAAGTTTTTGATATAACAAGAACCCCAAAGACCATTATTTTTTTGAAAGAAACCAAAAAGATTACCCAAGATGGCCCCTTTTATTATTAGTTCTATACTTTAACAACTCTAGAAAAAGGAATACAGCAAACATCACACTTATTGTTGACATCCTTCAGCATTGTCGTCTCATCATACACATACGTTTTAGCTGCTGTCCTCAGTGTGCACACGCTATTTACCCTTTATAATATTTCATGTATCCACAGCATTCATGCACATCCCATTTTCATTGGGGCTGTGGCCTCCCTCCAGGTCATGTATTGTAGAGCAGGCTGAGCCATTCACCGCTGGGCAGGCATTTGGCTTGAAGTGAAATCAACACCATTGTACCCATCCTTCCTTTCCTCTTCAAGGTTTCCTCTAGGAAAGTGGGATCTCCAAGCCAGCCGGTATACAGAGTCTGTGATTATTCATGTTATATATTTATATACTGCTCTTCAGAAAAGCTGACCCAACCACAATGTACAGTGTCACCAATTTCCTATAGCTCTGCCAGTACTGGAGATGATAAATAGATAGATATAGACATAGATATAGATGGTGTTGTATTATTAGTCCCATTTTATAGATGAGAAAACTGAGGGCCAAAGAGACAAAATCACTTTCCCTGGGGTCATTCAGCTAGTGGATGGCAGATAGCCCCAGTTCTAGAGGCACATCTCCTGGCCCCATTCAGTGCTTTGTCTGCCAAACCACTCTGTCTCTGACAGTCACTTCTACACATGGGCACAGCCTGCTCTTCTGACTTCTTTCGTCCTTTGTCCATGGAGGAGAGCAGAAACACAGCCTTTCCCCTCTTGGCTTCTGTGTCATGCAGACCAGGTTTCTCAGCTTCAGCTGGGCCCTTCCTTATGCCTGCTAGATCCAGGCTTGAAGAGTTCCTCAGAAGACAGCATGCTCATGGTACAGGCTTCCACCTCTTCCTTTCTGCAGCTGATTAGCTTCTGGGGTGAATTGGGGATTTTCTGAAAAATAATTTTCATTAGTATTCATTAGATGAATAGTAGTAGTAAAGTAGTAGTTGTTGTAGAGACTATCACAAGAGTCCCAATTATTTGATTAATTAACTTTCAAGCAGCAAAAAAAGCCCAAAAGGCAATTGTAACTCGTAGATCAGGGGCTTCCAACACTTACTGAGATCAACTCCCAGTTCACTGAGCAGCAGATCTGTTGGGGCTCTGCTCCGTCAATGCTGCTCTCTCTGGGACCCTGCCCCACAAAAGCCCAGATTGTAATTCTGGTCAAAAATATAACATTCTTCTACCGGAGAGCTCTGAAAATAATGACCTGGTCTGAGATGCTCTATGTACAGCACCTAGCAGGGTGCCCAGTCCAGGGATGGCACTCCAGAAACACAAGTCCCTTCCCTACGCATAGTCTATGTTCCTGACATCTTCTCCCAGGGACTCCAATACCTAATCATAACTGGTTGTAAACAGGCAGGTACCAACTTTCTAGACGGACCCTCCCCAACCGTTGCTAGCCTGCCCAACTCCACCAATAGGCTCTTCTTCAGCTATTGCCCACGGCCCTTCCCATCATTACTCTGAAGAGTGACACATAAGCACAGATACTTAGGTACAATAGTTTCTTACACCTCAGTCCCCAGGAGACATCAGCTTCATTGAGTCAGTTGCCCCTTATCCTTGTTTGTAAAGAGGGAGCATTAGGGGCTCACTCTTAGTGTTCTCGGGCAAATAATGGGAAAGGACACTGTACAAGCGGGGCTCACTGAGTAGGGGTGTCTTTGTGAGACCAACCACCAATTCACTGTCACTGGTCCTGTCAGATAGATTTCCAGAACACTGGCTACCTAAATCTGCAGTGGTGATGCTTGATTATATTTTTTTAATTCGGGAGCAGTGCTATCCAGTAGAAATATAATGTGAGCTACATATGTGATTTAAAATTCTCTAGTAGCACACATTAAAAAGAAAAATAAACAGGTAAAATTAATCTTAATAATATATCTTATTTAAAAATAAATATTTCACCATGTAATCAATATAAAATATTAATAAAATATTTTACATTCTTTTTGGCGCTGAGTCTTTCAATTCCATTGTGTATTTTACATTTATAGTACATCTTAACTGGCACTAGCCACATTTCAAGTGCCCAACAGTCACCAATGGCTAATGGCCACTGTATTGGAGAGCATAGTCCTAGAACATTAAAGTAAAAACAGCATAATCTCAGGATTTCAGAAGGTGCAAAACTGCTGTCCCACAGGTTAGAACTTTCCAAGAAGGTTCAGCTGATATATATTTTTCTAAGTTTGAATTTGTTTTCAACATTTAAAAATCAGGAGATTTCTCATGAAAGTCTGGATTTTTTGGTTTCTCATTTAAAACTTGAAGACCTGGTGGCACAGGCATCCCCTCTTGGCAGCAACCTGCTGGAACTGACAAGCAGTTGCCTTCTTTAACTGGAACATATTTGCCCTGGTCCCCACCATCCATTCCTACTGAATTACATTCAGGGCACTGCACACTTTATTTTTTGGTTCCTTTCTTGACCCCAAAGGCATCTGAGCTCACAATCCACTTTCTATGAAGCACACAAAGTCATACTTGGGATGGTCCATTGACAAATGACTGACTTGGGGCCATCTTTATGCTGGCTACCCACTTTACAGTGGAACGTGACAGCAAGAAGAGAAACAATAAAGTGAGCCATGGAAAGGAAAGGAAGACCCTTTAGCACCAAAGTCTCCATCCCCATGAAGCAATTATGGATGAAAGACAAGAAAAAGAAATTATATTTTAAAATAGGGAATATACACTGAGCAGTCTTAATATAATGTTTGTTGCATATATATTTCTGCTTTAGTCTATATTTAGACTTGGTGATATCAACTTCAATGGAAAGACATTCTTAATGGTATATTTCAGAGTGCAACCACCACCAACTGTAAAGTTATAGATGTAGACATGAAATTTTTAATCCAAACAGACAAATTAAACACATATAAACTCAATAGGACTTTTTAAAGAGTTGTCAAAGATTTCCACTTGGTAATTTCCCATGGTTTAATTGGAAAAATGCATGGATTTTGCAAGGAAGGCTGGAAGTTGCTTTTCAATAGTTTGGAGGATTATCTATAACTAATGCAAATGTTGAAGTGCAGCTGACTGGACTAAAGGGAAGGCTGAGAGAGGGAGAGACGGCGGTGGTGATGGACAGCATCAGCATCTGTTTGGGATTTAAAGGACACTAGTGGTCTATTTCTCACACAGTACTGTGGGAAATGCATATATTCAGAGAAATGGTAACACTTAAAATATCTAGGGAGAAATACAATAAAAATTAAAAGCCTTATGGAAAGGAATGCATGTAAGAACAGACACTGAAACGATGTAGGAAGGATAGTAAGGAGAACAGAGAAGCAAAAGCTAGTCAAGGGTAGTGGTACCTATGTTCCACAGGTGAAAGTGGTCATACTCTCACAGAATCTCCTTGTCCCTGGCTTCATTTCAGTTGTTTGGTTTTCTCCCAAAGCTATTTTTCAGGATATGGCTCATAACAAATCAGAATTCCTAGGAGTTCTTGTCACTTGAAGACTCTTCAAGTGCACCTGGAATCCTATAAGGAACTGACCTTTACATGGTTCTTTCCCTGGCCCTTTACTCTGTTGTTCACTAACAAGACACTGGGTTTTGGAAGGATCCTAGTGCCCCTGTTCCTGAAGCAGAGAGAAAACTCTGCTGGGCCGATGAATATAGGACCAGAAGAGGAATAATGAGGGACGGTGTTAGACATGGAGTGGCCTGTGAGTAAAAGGTAAGCATGAACCACAGAGGTGAGAGGAAAATCACAAAGGGTGACTGTTGGATGGCGTCCAGCTGAGGAAGGCGGAACTTTTCACCATGTTTGATAAAGAAGGGCTAATGGCTTGCCTGAACCAGGAAAGCTCCCCTTCCACCATCATCATTTTGGGATTGGTTCAGGCATCCCTCTTTCACTGCAGGGTTCTGCTTCTGCTTAGGCAGAGGAGCACCAATCAGACTAATCCTCCTACAGAAAACTACTTCAAAAACTGGTCAAAATATAAAACCAACTTCCTCAGGCCACCAGAGAGCAACCGAAAGTTGACACTTGAAAGAAGGGAATGTCACTGAGTTTCCCATTTTTCGCAGTTCCTTGTCTAAGGGAAGGTCTTTCTTGATGCCATGAACAATGACAGTCTCATTGACTTCAGAACCATAAACACATATGGGTGTAAACACAAAAGAAAGTGAGAGGACCAGAGTTAAGTGTTAATGAACTGAACATTCCAATCAAATGGCAGAGATTACTGAAATAGATTTATTTTTTAAAAAGACCAACTATATGCTGCTATAAGAGACATACTTTAACTATGAGGACACAGATAAGTTTAAGGAAAGAATATGCAAAGAGGATATACCATACAATCAGTAAAAAATAGGCTATATTGATAACAGGATAAGGAACATTGTCAGAGATAAAGAGGGACATTTCACCATGATAAAAGACTCAATTACTCAGGAAGGTGTATCCATCATAAATATGTGTGTACCTAAAACAGAGCTTCAAAATACTTGAAGGAAAAATTGACATAAAAGATGAAACAGACACATCTACACTCATAGTTAAAGACTTCGTTGTCTCCTCAATAACTGATAGAACTATACAAATCCTTAGAACAGTGTCTGGTGCTTAACCCTGTACTAAGTGTCAGCTAAAGTTACGGATCACCTGGAAGTGCTGAAGAAGAAGAGAACTGGCTTCAGGATAACAGGGTGGAGTAATGTCATAAAAACTGGATTACAGGGAGAATCATTCCTCCTGGGTAGGGAGAGCCAGGCCTTCACTGTCAGGTCATGTAGATGTCACAAGAGTGACTCCTCCCAGAGTGATTCCAGGCTGAGGTGCAACTATAGGAATGTATAGGTTGCAGGCAGGTCCAGGTCTAGTTGCTTCTGAGAAACTGACTACTAACTCCCTCCTCCCAGGAGAGAACTGTGAGAAATCCCTGAGGTGACAAAGATGGGTTTGTTTTTGTTTGTTGTTATTTTGTTTTGTTTTTGTGCTGCTTTGTGTGTTGAGGTCTGGTGGGGGCAGGAGTGGGGGTTGCAGTACAGGAGGCAGCCAGATGAAACATGGGGAAAACTGTTGGAGGCCTGCTTTTTCTCCTCCCCCACCCTGGCACGAACACACAGGGCCTATCCCCATTGGACAGCCTCAGACCTGTGTTCCAGTGTTCTCAGGAGTAAGATACAAACCCTAGGCTTGCAAGGAGCTGAGAAAACAGGTGGGTATCCTAACCTTGGGTAGTCAGTGGGCAGGTTCAGATTGTCCCCTTTCCCCAGCCAAAGGCAAAGTACAGTATGTGCTTCCTACATTCACACACATGCACTTCGCCCTGAGAACCAGTGAGGCTCCTGGGCATGTAAATTGAATATGTTGTGTTGGAACAAGTTACTGGATGTAGATGCTGTTATAATCATGGGAAGGGGCCAAGAATGCTCGGCAGGCCAGTCCGGAAGAGTAAGACTATGCATGACTCCTGAAATGCCAAGCATCCTGGGCTGTACAACACAACTGCTCCCTCGGCCTTCCAGGTCCTGGGGGCAAGCAGCAGTGGCCTTAAAAACTAAGGAAGGCCCCCACTCCTTGGAGAAGGGAGGTCTCTATCAGCCCTTCTGATTACAAGTGAAGTCCTGTCGTGCTCTTCTCCCCTCTTTCCTTCTTTGCGTAAATGCTTGTCAACCCAGAAAATGTGTGCCCTTGCCCAACTAAAGCCCAGACTGCATCCGGTCAGTGTCATGCTGAAAGGAAAGAAGAACTGTCTTACCAAGGTGTTGGGGAGCACCACCCCAGGGCAGCAGGAGTAGCGGAGCAGCTGGCCTGTCTTCCAGATGAAGAGCGGCACAACCACAAGTATCAGCATGAAGCCAACAAATGCAAACAGGGCCAGCGCCAGAGGGAGGGTCTCTCCTGGGAACGAAAAGACAGGAACACGTTTAGGAGACTCAGTGAAGATGAAACCTCCAATCCAGGGCCTCCCTCGCTTTCTGGGAGTTGGCTCGGCACATTAGCCAAGATGGCAGATGCCAACATCCTGAGATTTGATGTATGCCCTAGCCACTAAAATCACCACCAGTAAAAACATTTTTTTCTACAATCCATTTTAAGGCTTGGTTTCCAGAAAACCCCAGGGAAGATTAAAATCTGTTTCTTGGGAAGGGATAGGGAGGAGCATCAATGGTTAAGCCACTAGCTATGTTAGCACGTACCTTGGCGCCACCGCCAGGGGGATGGCAGAGTGCCAGGCCCTAGGCAGGATGAGGGGGAGGTGCCAAAAGAGAACAGCACAGAAGGGAGCTGGGCGGCAACTGAAAACAAAGTGTGTTTCACAATTTGCTCTTGGCACAGATTCATATTATGGAGGAAAATACTGAGTTGAGAAAACAGCCACATAATAACTATGATATATCAAGTGCCTACTATGGTTAAGTGACTTGCCCCAGGTCACACAGGTTGGGCTGGCCCCAAAGCCGGTGGTCATTCTACTAAGTAAATGGATGAGGAAGTACCAAGTGGGAGCACCTGAAGATGCAGAAGGGAGGATGGGTTATTTTCCCATCACTCTGTTCTATGTAGCCTTGAGCAACTCATTTAGCCCCTCTGGGCTGTACCCGCGATGTGAAGCGTGGCACAGCCAGTGAAGCAGTAGAGAAGCTGGTGGTCTCACATATGTGGCTGGGGACACCACACTTGGTTTCTATACTTTTGGAAGATATTTTGGCAGGACTTATCAAGAGATATACAAATGTTTATACCCTTTCATCTCCTCCTGTGAGTGGATTCCAAAAAGAATAATTTCAAGAAAGGAAACAATTATATGCAAAAAGCAGTTCATAGCAATATCTGGACTAGAGGAACAGCCTCATAACCAGTCTCTCTCTCTGCCCAAAGTGGCATACCTACACCTCCCACCACCTCTGGGCATGCTCTGTGCATTTTCTTCATAGCACGTACCAACAAGGGAAACTGTCTCCTTCGTTTATTTGTCTGTAACCTGTCTCTCCAGCTAGACAGTAAGCTCCATGAGAGAAGGGACTTCCCTGCTGTATCCCAGGGACTAGACCAGAACTTGGCATATAGTCAATGCTCAATAAATATTCATCAAATGAATGAATCAATCAATGAACATCATCTTCAAAAGCAAATGAAAATGACCTAAATACCCCCAAATAAGGGATGATTTAATTTATTATGGGACATCAGCATGGTAGATTAGGAATTTAGCTATTAAAATGAGAATTAGGATACATATTGTACAAGCTTGTTCACATCAGCATGGTTTGTGGTGGCAAAGGACTGGAAAGCACCGGTTCAATTCCCGGCCCGAGCTGAGCTGCCGCTGAGTGCCAACAGGTGGCAGGATGGCTCAGCTAAAAAAAAAAAACAAAAAAAACAAAACAAAAAAAGACTGGAAAGCACAGAATATACTTATTAATAGGGTATAATTGCATATATTTTGGCACATCTATATATTGGCTTATTATGCATCTTCTTTAAAAATGAGGTAAGGCCGGCCAAGTGGCTCGTTGGTTAAGAGTTGGATTGGGAGTGCGAGCTCTGAGTAGCAGTTCGGATCCCACATGGGCCAGTGACTCTGCATCCTCTACAGCTAAGATGGTAAACAAACAGCTCCACCTGGAGCTGGGCTGCCATCAGTTGCTGGCGACAGCGTAGGCTGCAGTGGGGCTGCAGTGGGCTGCCGTAAGATACTGTGAGTGACCAGCAGCCAGCATGAGGGGCCGGCAGACGGCATGAGCTGCCATGAGCTGCCGTGAGCTGCCGTGAGCGGCCATCCAGTGGCCAGGACCGATCTGCCTCACCCAGGAAGAGTGCAGTGATCATAATACCAACATGGGCCAATGAAGCGATGTCCTCCACAGCTAGACTAAAGAACAAAAGGACAGCAACTTGTCTGTTCCCTTCCCCCGATTCCCCAATAAATTCTTAAAAAAAAAAAAAAGGTAGATCCACAGTTTCTTAATCCAGTCGTCTATCAATGGACATTTTGGTTGTTTCCATATCTTGGCTATTGTGAATAGTGCTGCAATAAACATAGGGGTGCATATATTTTTTTGAATTAGTGTCTGTACACCTGAAGCTGAAGCTGAATAATATTGAATGTCAACTATAATTTTATATATATTGTCATGGGATGTGGAGTACAGAATAGCAAATAGAGTCAATGGAATTGTAACAGCTATATACAATGTCAGAAGGGTAGTAGATTGGGGGAGGGGGCTTATCACTTTGTGAGGGGTGTAAATGTCTAACTATTACATTGTTTTGTACACCTGAAACTAATTAAACAAAAATGAGGTAGATCCATGTGTACTGACATGAAAAAATGTTCACAATATACTACTAAGTGAAGATAAGCAAGGTACAGAGCAGCACAGTACAGTCCCATTTGTGCCTGTATTACTGGTATTACACAATGACTGGAAGATTAAATGCCAAACTTGCCAAAATAAGCTTCCTGAGTAGACAACGTGTACATCTTACCTAATATACTTCTATGTTTGAATTTTTTTAACAAGCTTGACTTATATGGTTTTAAAAAGTAGTATAAAATGGTAATCAGAAAATCTACATGGGAAATGTTATGGATACTTGTGAAAAAGCAGGTGCAAAACATATGTGCAATATGACTATGACATGTGCCTACACATGGGCAATGACAGAAGGATAATCCCCCTTTGGAGGGCAATCTGGGAATAGCAGTCAAAATTCAAATGTGTATATCGCTGACCAAGCAACTCTACTTCCAGGAATTTAACCTTCAACTGTACCAGCAAAATGATCTATGTACAAAGTAACTAAAGTATTGTCTGTAATAGCAAAATACTGAGGGGAAAACTAAATGCCCATAAATAGAGGCCTAGTTAAACTAGTTATATATGCATACGATGGAATACTATGTTACCATAAAAAGGATGAGGAAGCTGTTTATAGATATGGAAAAATCTACAAGATATATAAAGGAAAAAAGACAAGATTCAGAACGGTGCACAGAGTATGCTATTGTGCTAAAAAGAAGGGAAATATAAATAAATATACTCACATTTACTTTATATGCATTTAAGTCTTTAAAAGGATATATAAGAAGCTAGTATTTATGGGGGAGGGGGAGGAATTATAAGGATGGGAAAGATGAGGAGGAGAGTTTCCATGTGTATCTTATCATTTTTTTGAAACTTATGAATGTACTGTATATTCAAAAGAGTAATTACTTTTTTAAAAGGCTAAAAAGTTATACACAAAAATGTCACTAGGGTGTTTGAGTGACAGAATTGTGGGATGTGTGTTTTGTTTCGTTTCTCTTCAAAGGCTTTTTAAACATTGTGGGGTTTTAGACCATAAAAAATTCAAGGAAAAAAATTAAGTCAAACAAGAGGAGTCTATAGGCTTTGCATGAAGTCCCTTCTAGCTGAAAGCAGCTGTGATATATTGGGTTGTCAGAAAAGTCATGATGCATTTTTGCAACAAAAAACATAGAAAAAATTACGTCATGACTTTTCCAACAACCCAGTATTATACAATGAACTGCCTCCTCATAAGGTTTGACTCTCAAGCCCCCAGCTGCCTCTCCTGCAACCCTGCTGATTCACAAGCAGATCCACCCAGTAAACCAGCCTCATGACATCTGGCCTTAGGCCTAGGGAGCTTTCAGGGGGAAAGTGTCCCACATAGCTGCTCAAGTGACCCCCACCCGGCACATGGGTGCACCCTCTCACCCTCTAGAACAGCGGTTCTCAACCTTCCTAATGCCGTGACCCCTTAATACAGTTGCTCATGTTGTGGTGACCCCCAACCATAAAATTCTTTTCGTTGCTACTCTATAAGTGTAATTTTGCTACTGTTATGAATCGTAATATAAGTATCTTTTTGTTTTCCGATGGTCTTAGGCGACCCCTGTGAAAGGGTCGTTCGACCCCTAAAGAGGTCACAACCCACAGGTTGAGAACCGCTGCTCTAGAGCGAAGCACACTTTAACTACAGGAACCATCAAGCCTGGGGGGGGTGGGGGGAAGGTCAGTGAAACCAAGGGGAGACTCAGAACCCAAGGACCCGACAGGCAGCCAAGTGTCCACCAGGAGCGGCTATCACCTGTGCAGGACTCCAGGGAATAGGCAGGCCGTCCTTACCTTGCACCTTGACACATTCTGCCTGGCTGAAGGCACTCTGCCTCCCAATGACCTTTACAAATGTCTGGGCCTTCACACAGTATGCAGCGCCTGGCTCCATGGTTTCCAGGTGCACTGGAATGCCCCCGCTGCCGATCGTTTTGACATGTTCCTTGAGGAGACCAGAAAACAGTTAACAAGCTGAGGGAAGCAAGACGGGAAAGGAAGAGAAAAGCCAAGGAAGGAAAGCTGCGGATGTTTTCTTTCCAGGATGCATACAGAATGTTCCTTCTCATTCATTCATTCATTCATTCATTCATATTTGTTTATTTAGTAAGCACCTACTATGTGCCAGGCAGTATTGTAAGCACTGGAACATAGCATCGAACAAAGCAAAGTCCCTGCTCTCATGGAGCTTATGTGGGGGAAGAGAGATAATATATAATATTTGTCGGGGGAAATAAGAAAAGTGAAGCTGGGCAAGAAGGCAGAGTGATGAGGAGGCACTAAACAGAATGGGTGGGTGACCTGTTCTTACAGGGTCAGAGACCTGAAGGTCGGGAGTGTGACTGAGCCGGGGGCCTGGCATGGCCACTGCTGCCGGCAGGGTCAGGGGGCAGTGCACAGGAACAACGGAACTGGTGGGCAGTGCTTCTTCAAACAGCCATCCATCCACCTGTCTGTTTATCCATCTATACATCCCTCCATCTCCACTCACCCCCTGAAGCATGTGCTCCACATCTGAACCTGTGGAGGCTTGTCTGGGCCAAGCCCAGATGACTCAGGATATATTCTCCTCTATCAACACTGGCCCTCCCAGTTTCCAAGGGTGGGGAGTGGGCTCCATCCCAAAAAATCTGAGGGAGATGCATGCTCCCTCCTTCCCAGGCCCTGATCTGTCCCCCATACCACTCTATCTGCCTGGCTGGCAATGCCATGTCCTACCACTAGGCCCCCATCCAGCAGGAGTAAATACTGGAAACCATTGTTAATGTCCATTCTGCCTACTCATATCACCTTTCAGGGGAAGCTACACAACCTACAGCCACTGTTGACGGTAATGGGGCATGTTCCCTGCCCCCCAGACATCGCTGTGAGGTCAGAGGTACTCCTGGCCTGTGAAGGGTCCATCAGAGGCTAGCCAGCAACCTGCGACCCCTAAGCTTGGCCTGATAAGATAAGCAGGACCAATCAGATTTTCTCTCCTGGGAATTGGTCTTGGGAAACTGAATACCTGGAGCTAGAAGTAGGGACAAAGGGGAGAGGACACAGTGAGGGGACCTTGAGGGGCTGGTGAGGCACAGCCACAAGAATGTGTATGAAGGAGTGATGAGGAATCAGAGGCTGGGCTTAAGCTGGGGAGAAGGCCACAGAAAGAGTACAATAGAGAGGACCCACCAGTGGGAAGCAAGGACTCCACATGAGGGCCCCTGGGTAAGGGAGGCTGTGCTACAGCCTGGCTCTGGGTCAGCTCTGTTCACAGATTCTGTGAGACCCCCTTATTGTATCATATTAATCCTTATGATAAAGTCTATATTTTTTGTGTGCTGACTGGAGTGGGCCTTGTCACCATATCAGCTTGCACAGGGCTTGCACAGTCTGACTGTCCCCTAGTTCCTGCTCAAGTTCCACTCCTTGTGCTGCTGTGGCTGCTGCTGTTTCACCATTCCCTCTGGGAGAACTGACCTCCCACCCACCCCAGCCTACAGCAGCCATCCCACAGGGAGGGGCCATGCCCCATCTAGGCAGTCTGGGTGACCCACCAGTGCATACATAATTAGACAGGTTTATCCATAAGCCAGCTGCTGGCTCTCTGCCCTGACTTCTGCACCCTGCCCAGATACACACCCTTAAGAGGCCTGTGCCAGCCTCAGATGATTTTGAAATCATCCAGTTGATCTGGAACACCCTGGTCTGCTGTCCCTCAACATACCAGGGAGAATGGCTGAGAAGACAAGCTGATGAGGGAGAAGAAATGCATTGAGATGGTATTGTGGATTCAACTATATTAGAATTTAGAGCAAGTAGGCAGCCCCCATACTTCAGCAAATCTGGCCTGAGAAGGTTCCCAGCCAAGGCCTGGGTTGGACCAAGGTAGTTCTTTGAAGAGGAGGCTATTGGGATTGTCAGCCTACTCCCATTTCTCCTTTCCCACACTACACTAAGGCTGCCCATCCTCAGGCCACCCCAGACAGTGAGCACTGCAGGGGCTAGCTTTTCACACCCGCCTCTCAGAGGACTGTGACACCTTCCCCAAAGCCTGACTCAACCCACCAAGTTCAGAAATCTCACCTTGGCACCAGGCTCCCTCCTCCAGTAGACCACAAGGAACTCAAACTGGGGCCCCAGATCTTCCAGGTTAATAACCAGGTGGAATCCATCTTTGGTGACCTCCATTCCAGGTGGGGTTAGGATGGCTGTTGGCAAGACAAGAGGAGAATCAAAGTCAGCCCCAGAAAGGACTGATATCTGTCCTAGAAAATTATGACCAAGTCATCAGTGGAAACATGCCAGGGAGGGGGTTGGATGTAGCTCACAGCAGGAGCATGTATACAATACTGTCCAGTACTCAGCAGGTACTTGGTAAATGCTTTTTGAATGATGAGCAAATGAAGAAAAAAAAAAAAACAACTACGAAGACTTAACTACAATTCATATGGATCAGTGATATGTACTGACTGCTGGTGACTTTTAAACATTAGCACATCAGCAGCCTGTGGATGGGTTAGCCATTCTATTCTCGGCCTAAGGATTCCTCATCTCATACCCTTAATGGGGCATGTTGGAAAATCACAGGGTTTTACAAATTCCAATAATCAACTTCGGAAATAAGAGCATAAGCACAAACACTACCTATCACATTGCTGGATCCCAAGTAGATTGGCCAGCAGCTCCCATGGATACTTTCCCATCAGCAGACCAAGAGCAGAAGGGCCCACACATAGAGTCTCTAGTCCCTGAGTAATGATGACAGATCCATGCTTGCCTCTCAGATCCAGACACTGCAGGACCAGAAGGGCCACCCTGATTGTTGGCCTTGGCTCGGGAAGTAGAATGGAGTGTGTTCTGGGCTAAATCCCCCGCCCTCTGTATTAGGGTCAGTGGACACTCAAAGAAAGTCAGTTCCTGTAGGGAGTTTGCAGAGAGCAAACATGTCCTGGCATTTGAGGAGCTGCCTGGATAGGACAGGAGGACTTGAGAAGCCAGGAACCAACTGTGCAAAACATGCCCAGCTCAGTCTTCATATAAGCAGGTAGCACCACTAGAACTACCTCTGAAACACCTCCAGAAGGAAGAGAGAGGTTTAACTCCTCCGGTTTTAAGTCAAACATGATTAGAATTGGATCCTCTGATCTCCATCTTTATTGAGAATACAATTAGAAAAAAATTACCTAAAGTTATTTCAGTTCAGAGAATATTTTGACACTGTTGGGGCAGGAACCTCTATGCTATGTACTCTACATACTCACTTAATCCATCCAGCAAGCTTAAGAAGTTAAATACTATTCCTGTTGTGCAGATGACATAACTGAGCCTCAGAGAGGTTAAGTGACTTGCCCAAAGTTACACAGTTAATGGCCAGTATTTGAGCCCATGTCTTTTCCAAGCTTCTAGGCTCTGCTATGTGGGGTATTTAGCCTCTGTACTAGCAGATCTCACCTCTGGACCCGCATGAGAATAACCTGGGGAGAATTTAAACTCCCAGTGAAAAGAATGCACGTAGAACATTTAAATCAGACTCTGGGGATGGGCCCCAGACATAAGTGGTTCTAAAGATCCCCTGTGACCTGAATGTACAATCGAAGTTACGAACCTCTACCCTCAAAAACTCTTCCCTGTAAAAGGAGATGTTTTTTAGGATAGCCTTAAAACAAAACTTTTCATTTTGGGGGGGAGAAGTCAGGGTGGCCTTTTTCAAAGAACAGACATAATGCCCTTAAGAGTCCGGATTTCATCCCAGCTCTGTAGCTAACTCCACCAGCACAGGGGTCACACAGGCCTGCATCTTCCACCTTCCAGTGCAGGTACAGACAGTCCTGTTCCACAGCTCCTCCTGCAGCAAGACGTTTTCCTGTTTACATTGGCCTTCTCAAGCACAAATTGTTACTGTACACCTCACCCACATAGTTTTGTAGGCATTTCCTTATTTCCCTCTGACCCATGCCTTCCTTTCCAACAACAGCTGCCAGACCCCAGCAATAGTCTTGGTTGGAGCCCCGTGCTCCCAGGAGACAGCGGAAGGTGGTGCTGGATGCTGCCTGGGCACTGCAGGCAGAGGCAGAGCTGCACCACCCTCCAGTGCCCTTCAGCCTCCCCCAGTGCCTGGCACTGAGATCCCACTGCTTCCACTGTAACCTCCCAGAGCCTGGGCAGAACAGCCCACATTCTGCACCAAAATTCCCACTGATTTCACACTCCAGTGGTCCCAACTCTTCTCAATAGCAGAATGCTGTGATAGGACAGCACTGCACTGAGCATTTAAACATTTCATCTTATATGGTCCCGCAACTACAGCGTGAGGCAAACTGTTGCCCTTCTTACAGGTGAGGACTCAGGGACCCAGCTATTGATGGCTGAGCTGGGATTTGAACCCCATCTGTCTGACTCTACAGGGCCAACTTCCTTTCAAATCTGTCTTCATTTTCCTCAGCCCCTTCCAGCTTGGGCTCATACACTCCTCAGTAACCACCGACTCATCCCATTACAGGTGATGCTGCACCTAACCTTCCTTTGTCCTCATTCACAGCAGAGATTTTTCTGCCACATCAAGAAAACAGAGGTAGGGCCGGCCGAGTGGCGTGTTGGTTAAGAGCTGGCTTGGGACGCCAGAGGGCCCCAGTTTGGATCCCACATATGAGGGCTAGTGACACTGCCCTCTACAGCTATGATGCTGAACAACAGCTCAACCTGGAGCTGGGCTGCCGTGAGTCACCTGCCACGGTGTAGGCTGCAGCCCCTGCTGCAGTGGGTTGCAGCATATGAGGGCTAGTGACACTGCCCTCTACAGCTAAGATGCTGAACAACAGCTCAACCTGGAGCTGGGCTGCCGTGAGTCACCTGCCACGGTGTAGGCTGCAGCCCCTGCTGCAGTGGGTTGCCATGGGCTACCGTGTGTAGCCAGCAGCCAGTGTGAGCAGCCAGCAGCCAGCATGAGCGGCCAGCAGCTGCCGTGAGCGGCCGTCCAAAAGCCAGTGACCGATCTGCCTCACCCTGGAAGAGAGCAATGATGGTGCCAACTTGGGCCAGTGAAGCGATGTCCTCCACAACTAGACTGAAGAACAAAAGGACAGCAACTTGTCTGTTCCCATCCCCCAATTCCCCAATAAAAATCCTTAAAAAAAAAAAAAAGAAAACAGATGTCACATTGTCACTCACACCTGTCTCAGAGCAGGAGCTGCCTTGCCCCTTCCCACCTCCACTCAGTCTTCTACCCCGCAGCCTGACCACCATCCCCACGGCTCCATGAAGCCACTTTGCCAAGAGCCCATCTAGGGGCATCCTTCAGGCCTACAGCAGCTCTTCTATGCGCCCATTCATGACCCTCTACCTGCCCAGCCACCTACTAGTGCCCTTCCCTACATCTGCTTTTTAAACCCCGAGGTTTCCCAGGATTGTGTCCTGAGTTCTCTTTGTCCTCATATCTTGTGCCTGAACAATTGCATCTGCTCCCAGGCCTTTAGCTATGAGGTTTATGTTGTGTTTCTGGCCTTGACCCATCTGAGCCCCAGGACCTGATTTCCAGCTGCCAGTCAGACCTACTGGCATGATATCTAGTAGGAATCTCAATCTCAAAGAGCCCAAAGCCCAAAGAGCACAAAGCCTCTCCTATTCCTCAAGAGCTGTCATCCCTCCTGGTTTCACTGCCTTGAATGACATTCTCCCAACCCCAATTGGAAGCTGGACACCATCCTTGTCTCTCCCAACTCCATCTCTGAATAACTCATCCCAAAGCTCTGTCCCAATTCAGCCACATCTCAAATTTGTCATCTCCTCCCTATCCTCTGCCCCACTCCTGGGATCAGGACCCACCTTGGCTCAGCTGCCATTTTACAACCCCTTCCTCACTCTTCGCCTGCCCTGCAGGCTTGTTCTACTCCAGTTCCTTTCCACACAGCAGCCAGAGTGATTGTTTTGTAAGACACACCTGGCCTAGAACCTCTCTTTTTCCATGACTTCCCTCTACTGATTTGACCAAGCTTCATGTGAGAGCGCTTCACAAGTGACCAGCTGCTTCCTCACCCCCTCACCATTCAGTCCTTGCTCCTGCCGTTCCCAAACAAACACATCCTTTTTACGTTGCCCATTGCTTGTGCTCTGCCATATTAGGCCACCTATCTATATTCTTGCCTTACTTCTTTCTCAATCACTTTTTAGGTACTATTGCTATAGAAAAGTTATTTCCCAGTGACCATAGAAGAGCAACTGTTTCTGGTGGCCCTGTTAAATGTATAGATTCTATTGCACAAAGAAGCTGCTCCCACAGGCAACAAACATGACTTAGTTAGGCGTGAGATGGGAGTCAGTATAAGATTTACTGAGGCACCATCAGGGTGGAAAGAAGCAGCCCTAACCCCATCTCCCTACTTCCAGAGCGGCTTTCCTTCCAGGTTCTCAACGTCAGGTTCCCCACCACCTGCAGACCCCGGCCAAGATAGGGAATGAGTTCAAAGCCTCTTTCAAAATGAGAAATAGGGCATGTAGGAAGCAGTTGGCAATGTTTTAAATTGACCGGTTAGGGTTGTTTGTGCTCACAGTACTCGCTTGGTTTGCAAGACTAATTTGATACTGAAAGGAATCCTGAAGTCTCAGAGAACCTATTTCCTGAAGAGGAGGCTAGTGGGGGTGGGGGAGGAAACAGGGACGTATCTTACTAGAGTTTCGATTAAAAGGGTGCTTCAGGGTGCTCCAGGCTGAGGTCTGTGAACCCAGGATGGCCCTGACACGAAGGTTGTATGGCACAGTGGCAGTGATGTCATCAGTGATGTCACACTCAGGGTCTTCAGTGGATGAGCAACAGGTGCTGGGGATCCACATGTGGCTCAGGTACAGGCTCTCATACTCTCTGGCCAAGGAGAGAAAAGCACAGCATCACAACAGCCCCTGCTACCCAGGCCCAATGATGGTTGCAAGTAGCTGCCTCATTCACTCACGTTTTATGAGTCAGCAAACCACGAGTAAGCATTAGTTCCACAGTCCATTTCCTCCACTCTACTCCACAACCAACCATTCATTATTCCTTACTCCTTTTGTCACTGGGCAAGGGAAACCTAGGCACTAACCCCAATGTACCCAGATTTTTTTTTTTTAAGCTGAGCCATTCTGCCACCTGTTGGCAGCTCAGCAGCTGCTCAGCGTGGGCCGGGAATTGAACCACTGTTGCTCAGAGCTCAAACTCTTGAGTGAGCTCTTAACCAACTGAACCACTCGGCTGGCCCAGATCTCTCCATCTCCATGTTCACCACCCCAATCTCAGCCCCTGTCATCCCTTGCATTGCTATGGTCTCCTGACCGATTTTCCAGCTTCCACTCCTGCTATTCTTCAAACTATTCATCACTCAACAAATCATGACATTTCTATCCTTACTGGCTTCCAAAGCACTTCAAATGAAATCCAAACTCTTCCCCATGGCCTACAAGACTCTCAGACCTCTCTCTCACTCCACCCCAAAACATGCTCTTTCTTCCACACTAGCCTTATTGAGCTCTTTTTACTTTAGGACCTCTGACTAGCTAGCTGTTCACTGTGTCTCAAATGCCCCACCCCTGCTGTTCGCATTGGTTGGCTCCTCCTGTCCTTCAGGTATGAGCTTAAATATCACCTCCTTAGCAGGTCTTCCCTGACCACCAATGTAAAGGAGCCACAGAGTCAGCTCTCTATTGCATCAGCCTTTTAGCTTCCTCCCATTATTGATTATTACCTGAAATTACACAGATCAGTGCTGCCCAGTAGAACTTCCTGTGGTGATAGAAATGTTCTATTAATATATTGGTGGTGTTCAGTATGGTAGCCAGAACCACATGTGGCTATTGAGAACTTGAAATGTGACTAGTGAGGCTGGGAAACAGACATTTTCATTTAATTTTAATTCATTTACATTTGAATAGCTATCTGTGTCTAGTGGCTACCACACTGGACAGTGCAGACCTAGGTTTTTATTTTCTTTACTTTTTTACTGTCTGTCTCCTCCTCTAAATATAAGCTCCCTATATCTAGAAACCTTGTTGACTGTACCTTGAGCCCAGAAGAATGTCTACATATCTAGATGCTCAGTTTGTATTCTTTGTTAATGAAATATATTGAGCACTTTCTATGTCCCCATTGCTACTCAATGGGTCCGGGGTCTTAAACACAAGCATAGGAGTGAGAGCCTGCTTGGCCCCAGGGTCAGCTGACCTTCAAGGTCAAAATTTTGGATCCTAAGTATAAGCTCATAGGCAGGAACACTGAGGTCTCCCCAACCCTCAAAGGGCCTGAGTCTTCAATGACTTATCTACTTCAAGTCAAAGTCAAACTTATTTAAGATTTTCTTCAGCATTAGAAAGTGGACTCACTGTTGAAAAGAAGCTCCACCAAAATAGGTTTGTACACATTTGGGTTCCCAGAGATCACTGTAAAGCCCTCAGGACAATGTCTCTTGCTTCTTCAACTCTCCCAATGTTCATTCAGACAGAGAAGGCTGGTCATTGCAGCTAATCTACCCAAAAAGCATCCTTGAGTTTTGGAATAAGGGCTGTGCCTCCAGCAATCAACTACTGTCTAAGGGAGAAAAACTACAAAACAAACAAACAAACAAGCAAACTCACCCCTGGTACTCAACAGAATAGTGTATTACTTCTCCAGGCACAATCACTGGGCTCCACATCAAGAGATGCTTCATGTTGGTTGATTGTACAGAGAGGTTCTGAGGGGCAGGCAGTACAGTGACTCCATCTGGGATCAAGGCAGATAGACAGGCTGACAGGTGGGCTCATGTTGGGGGAATGCCACAGCTTTAAATTAGCTTTGAATGAAAGGCTTCACATGTTTATGAACCAGAAACACCTCTAATTTCATTATAGTTGTGATAATGCTAAATTTTTCCTATCATCATTGTAATGCTACCTTTGGTGATAAAATGGCATATTAATATTAATAATAATAATGGCTAATATTGTTGAGCACTTACCATGTTCTATCTAGACCACATGTTAGGTTGTTACATGATTTTCTCATTTAATCATCATGACCATACTGGGAGGTAAGGACTATTAGTTTCTCCACTGTACAAATGACAAAACTGAAGCACATTGTTTACGACTCTTATGTCAGATCAACCTAGATGTCTTGTCTCTGCCACTTACTATGTGACCTTAAGCAAGTTTCATAAACCTTAGCCTCCCATCCCTACATGGCACATCTATGCAAGCTCCTGCCAGCCTCTCATCACCTCCCTCTCCTGCTACTATCATCCAAAGCACATCGCTTCGCATCCCCCAACAAGGCCAAATGGGGCAACAGCTGCCAGTTGGGAAGTGAGTGCAGGCTGGTAAGTTGTGGAGGGTGTCCAATCCAAACCAAGACAGCTGGGAGACTCCGCCCCAGGCAGACTGCAGGCCCCTAAGCCAGCCTGGGACACAAGCATCTACTCACACTGGAAAACTGAACCTGCACTCATAAGGACTTTGGGCACCCCTGGGGCTCTTCCTTGTGTGTAACCCAGGGTGCAATCTGGACCCTCTGCTATGGCCCTTCTCTTCCCAGTCAAACGCTCTTCTTTTAATGCCCAACACCTGCCTCTCTTTGCTGTTATAATTGCAGTGATAACATCTGAGAGCACAGTGCGAGAGGTGGGGAGGTCTAGGCCCTTTGCCCAGAACTTTTCATCTCTGTGCTTTTCTCCAGATTGGCACCTTTGTTCAGTATCAAGCCCTGTGACTACGAGGGGATGGGGTTTACTGGGGACACCCCACCTGCTTCCCTTGCTTCTTCTTTAATGTAGGACCCTGGTGATATACCTCCATCCTACCCTCAGCATCCATGGCCTTCTCTGTGAGGAAACACCTGGGGTACCCACAAGGGGAGCTTCCTGTCCTCCCCACCCCCCAAACTTGCAATCACCAAAAGGATGAAAAGAAAAGAGCCAGCTGCAGTGGGTGGCACGGGAGGGGGGGCATGGTCCTCACTGACATCCTTCCTCTGGTAAAGTACACAAAACATTTCCCTAGTCAGCTATACAAAGCTATTCTTCATAATTTAATAGCTCTGAAGATGAAATCTCTAGGCTCAGATGGTTTCACTGGAAAATGCTACCAAATATATATTTTTTTAAATTAACAGGAATTTTACAGAATCTTTTCCAAAAAATAACAGAGGAAAGAACATTTTCCAACTTATTTCATAAGGCCAGTATTACCCTGATACCAAAATCAGACAAAGGTAGTAGTATATATTTTTCAAAAAAAACAAAAAAACTAGAAACCAATATATCTCATGTGCTTAGATGCAAACATTGTCAACAAAATTTTAGCAATCCAAATCCAACAATGCATAAAAAGGGTTATACACCATGACCAAGTGGGATTTATTCCAGGTATGTAAAGCTGGTTCAACATTTGAAAATCAACTAACGTAATCCACCATATCAACAAACTAAAGAAGAAAAATCATACAATCATATAAATTGACACATATAATGCACTCATAAAATTCAATACTCATTCAAGATAAAATGGTTTTTTTCTTCATGTTAGGAACAGCAGGGAGTTATCTCAACTTGATAAAGACCATCTACAAAAAATCTACAGCTAGCATCTTACTTAATGGTGAAAGACTGAATGCTTTCCACCATAAAATCAGAAATAAGGCAAGGACTTCCACTCTCACCACTTTTTATCAACATAGTACTGGAAGTTCTAGCAACTGCAATAAGGCAAACAAAATAAGCAAAAGCATACGGATTGGAATGGAAGTAATAAAACTCCAATTATTTGCAGATGACAGGATATGGCTATGTAAAAAAATCCTAAAGAAAGAAAACTCCAAAAACTAATAAGTGAGTTCAGCAAGTTCACAGGACACAAGACAAACATAAAAATTAATTGTGTTTCCATATACTAGCAATGAACACATATATAATAAAATTAATAACACAATTGTCCTTTGGTATCTGTAGAGAATTGGTTCCAGTACCCCACCTCCACCCCAGATACCAAATTCCTCAGATGTTCAAGTTTCTTATATAAAATGGCATACTATTTGCATATAACCTACGTTCATCCTCTTATAAATTTTAAATCATGTCTAGATTACTTATAATATCTAATACAATGTACATGTCTATAAATAGTTGTTATACTGTATTGTTTAGGGGAAAATGACAGGAAAAAAAGTCTGTACATACATGTTCAGTAGAGACACAACCATCATAGGCCTAACTATATAGCTCACATCAGCAACAATGTAACAATTTTTTAATAGTTTTGATTGGCAGCTGGTTGAATCCACAGATGTGGAACCTGTGGATACAAAGGGCTGACTGTACTATTTACAACCACTCCAAGAAAAAAGAAATAGGTGTGAATCTAACTATATATATATATATATATATATATATATATATATATATATATATATATATATATGATTTATATGGGGGAAACTCCACAATGCTGGTAAAAAGATATCAAAGAAAATCTAAATAAATGGAGAGACATACTGCATTTGTGAACTGAAAGATTCAACATAGTTAAAATGGTAATTCTCCCAAAATTGATATACAGACTTAACACAATTTCTATCAAAAGTTCAGCAAGGTTTTTTGTAGACATAGACAAACTTTTTCAAAAATTTATGAGAAAAGGGAAAGGAACTAGAATAACTAAAACAATTTTTAGAATAAATTAGGAGGAATCAATCTAGCCAACTTGAAGACTTATAGTAATTAAGATTGTATAGTATTGACAAAAACAATAGACACATAGATAGATAGAATATAATAGAGATCTCAGAAATAGAACCAGACAAATACGATCAACTGATTTTTGGTAAAGGTATTAAAGCAATTCAATGGATGAAGGGTAGGCTTTTCAACAAATAATACTAGAGTAATTGGACATCTGCAGGCCAAAAATAATAATAATAATGAACCTCGAGCTTAACCTCACACATTATGCAAAAATTAATTCAAAATGGATCATAAACTTAATGTAAAACTCTAAAACATAACAGAAAAGATTCAGGGTTAGCAAAAAGTTCTTAGACTTGACACCAAAAGCAAGATCTATAAAAGAAAAATTTTATAATTCGACATCATCAAAATTAAAATCTTTTGCTCTGCAAAAAAACCGTGTAAAGAAGATGAGAAGACATCAGAAACATGGTGGCATGAGGGGTGCCCCTTGATCTCTCTCCCCTTGAAGTTACAAGAAGTTGAACAGCTATCGTTCAACAAAGGATTGCCTATGCAACACAGAAATATGTCTGAAAGATCCGTTCATTGAGACACCTGAAGATGGGGAACCAGGGTGAACAGGAGAGGAGGGAAAAAAGTGTAGAGAGAGATGGGGTCCATGGGATGCAGTCCAGAGCTCACTGCGGTCCCAGGAGAGAGGAGAGTTGAGACTGTGTGGGCACTCTCTGGGGCCCCAGCAATCCTGCCTGAGGGATCAGCATACAGTTCAGTTCAACCCATGGATTGGGGCAGAGACCTGGGGGCAAATACCAAATACAGAATGGCGAAAAAGTCTGATGACTAGGGTCTAACAGCCCTCGCTGCCAGGCGGAAAACAAAGCCACAGAGCCTGGCCACCTCCCCACCCTCCCAGAGCTTGCCTCCCTCACACCTTCTCATTGTTAGCAGCAGGCCCCAGAAAAAAATGGTAGAAGTGTTGGATTAAAGAGCAGAACATCTACAGCCCTGAGAACTGGAGAGACAGTTCCTGAGCGGCAGGCAGACGCACACTGTGGCTAATTCCAGTGACAAGGGAGGAGCTATAGGGGCAAGGCAACTGTGGTCTGGCAGTCATCATTACCTGGAGGAGAACAAAGCCACAAACACACCAGCAGCCTCTCTCAGCCCACCCCACCCCCACCTTTCCCAGCTGATCCCAGCAGGGGCACCCAGGGCTGCTGAGGCACTCAGCTATGCATCTGATTGCAGGGGCAGCAGTGGGATTTCAGGGGCTCAGAACCCCGTCTCTCACTACATCCTCCCATAGGGGTGGTGCCCTGAGATGGAGGTGACCTAGTCACAGAGGAGATGCCCACTTCCCCAGGAAACCTACCACCACAAGAAGCTGGAACAGGGCAAGAGAAAATAAAATGCTCCAGTGCTACCTACTGGAAAACAAAAGAAAAACCTCTTCATATCAGCCTGCTGCAGAATTCACTCCCGTAGATGCCCAGGAAGAGAAATAACCTATTAACTACCATGAATAACCAAGGTAACAAGGCAGCTGAGAAAGAAAATGCAGTATGTCCAGAAAATAAACGTAAAGACATGGAAATATGTGACTTAAATGTGCATTCTTTGTTCATGGCCCTTTCCTCCATCTTCAAAGGCAACAATGGTTGGTTGAGTCTATTTTATGCTTCAGATTTCTCCTGCTTCTTCTGTCCTCCCATCTCTCTCTCACTACATCCAGGAAAGGCTCTCAGTTTAAGGACTCATATGATTGAGACCACCTTGATAATCCAGGATAATCTCCCAATCTCTAGGTCCCATAATATTAACCACAGTTTTAAAATCCTCTTTTCCAAGGAAGGTAGCATATTCACAGGTTCCAGGGTGAGAGTGTGCACATCTTGCGGGGGGGGGGGGGCATTATTCTGCCCACCACAAAGGGCTTGCATTGCAGGGGACATTAGCTCTATGAACTGACACTATGCCCTACAATTACTCCCTCAAATACGGTAAATTATTTTAAGAGAATTATCTTGTATATGACCAGAAG